GGGGGGGTGTCAATCAACGAATAAAGAATCAGTAAATCATGTTCTTTTTCCGAGAGAAAAGTCACACGTCCAATCCTGAGTCAATTACATTCAATGTAACTTCAAGCTGACAGATAGTAATAACACGGAATTAGAATATCTAATTATCTAAGTCCGTGGAAATACACAGTTTTACGCCTATTTTCCTCCCTGTGAATAAACAGGTAAATTACGATAGTAACAGGTTTTACATGTGAAAGCCATGAACAAATGGCATTTATGATTCCTAAATACCCTACCGGTGAATTAACATCATGTACACTCATTAATTACCTATAGGTTTCAAGTTACCTATGAATGCCATGGGGATGATGGCCTAAGGGAATTTATGACCGACTCTTCAACTAATACAGCTAGGTAGTATAGTGAACCGACTAATTTCCCCAAATGTTAAAAGCAAAAACGTTATTAAGGGATTTTAGTCAGTATAAGTACATATTATACACTTCACGAGAGACAGCACGGTTGAAATATTTTTGGTTTATAACTGACATACATTTACAAAGAAGACAAATTACTTTTTAGGAAATTTCTAAATTCAAAAGTTTCTTTATTGTAGTATATAAGAGATTTGCTGAATTGTCACAGTTTCAATATAAACACAGTAATTTGGTGGCTTTAATTAAAACCTGTATCTTTAGGGGCGGATCCCAGATATCGTGATGAGGGGTGGTGCACTTTATTCAGAATAAATCCTTGGTTTTCATCATGCACATGTCACGAGAGACCACCAACAAATCCAACACATGTCACGTGAGACCGCCAACAAATCCTACACATGTAACGAGAGACCACCAACAAATCCAACACTTGTCACGTGAGACCGCCAACAAATCCAACACATGTCACGAGAGACCACCAACAAATCCAACACATGTCACGAGAGACCACCAACAAAGCCAACACTTGTCACGTGTGACCGCCAACAAATCCTCCACATGTAACGAGAGACAACTAACAAATCCAACACTGGTCACGTGAGACCGCCAATAAATCCAACACTTGTCACGTGTGACCGCCAACAAATCCAACAAATGTCACGTGAGACCACCAACAAATCCTACACATGTCACGTGAGACCGCCAACAAATCCAACAAATGTCACGTGAGACCACCAACAAATCCTACACATGTCACGTGAGACCGCCAACAAATCCAACACATGTCACGTGAGACCGCCAACAAATCAAACACATGTTACGTGGGACCGCCAACAAATCCAACACATGTCACGTGATACCGCCAAAAAAGCCAACACATGTCACGTGAGACCGCCAACAAATCCAACACATGTCACGTGAGACCGCCAACAAATCCAACACATGTCACGTGAGACCACCAACAAATCCTACACAAGTCACGTGAGACCGCCAACAAATCCAACACATGTCACGTGAGACCGCCAACAAATCCAAACAAAATCAATGCTGTATAGCCTAAATGCATTGAATATCATCGAGTAGAGCGAAGCAGACTTTCTTTCATCGTCAAGTTTGAATTTTTTTTAATCTAATTTTTAAGCTGTCGATGAGTGGAGATTTGGGTAAATCTTAAATTCCTTTCTGAAAATAAGCATAAAATTGGAAGCAAAATTTGTTCGTGCTCTAGTTTGAAGTATCAAACGAGTGGCGAGTGCGAAAGCTTTTCAAATATTCCTTAAGATGTTGTACGGAGCGAGGTAAAACAATGTCTGAGAACGGTACACACTTCCTTATATATTTCAATACACATTAGTACATAAGAGATGACACAAATAATATATATGCATCAATTTCATACAAGCATCATGAAAACCCCCCACCAATCATTGAAGTGGTGAAAGGGGACGTTAATATGTAGACGTGTCACACGAATCAATTTGTCAGCCATTCATTTTCAGAACATTACAGTAGTCTGTATTCCAGATATCTGATTGTCAGCAGTTTTCAGAACATTACAGTAGTCGGTATTCCAGATATCTGACTGTCAGCAGTTTTCAGGACATTACACTAGTGTCAGCCATTCATTTTCAGAACATTACACTAGTGTCAGCCATTCATTTTCAGAACATTACAGTGGTCTGTATTCCAGATATATGATTGTCAGCAGTTTTCAGAACATTACAGTAGTCGGTATTCCAGATATCTGATTGTCAGTAGTTTTCAGAACATTACAGTTGTCTGTATTCCAGATATCTGATTGTCAGCAGTTTTCAGAATATTACACTAGTCTGTATTCCAGATATCTGATTGTCAGTAGTTTTCAGAACATTACAGTTGTCTGTATTACAGATATCTAATTGTCAGCAGTTTTCAGAACATTACAGTGGTCTGTATTCCAGATATATGATTGTCAGCAGTTTTCAGAACATTACAGTAGTCGGTATTCCAGATAATTGATTGTCAGTAGTTTTTAGAACATTACAGTTGTCTGTATTCCAGATATCTAATTGTCAGCAGTTTTCAGAACATTACACTAGTCTGTATTCCAGATATCTGATTGTCAGCAGTTTTCAGAACATTACAGTAGTCTGTATTCCAGATATCTGATTGTCAGCAGTTTTCAGAACATTACACTAGACTGTATTTCAGATATCTGATTGCCAGTAGTTTTCAGAACATTACACTAGTCTGTATTCCAGATATCTGATTGTCAGTAGTTTTCAGAACACTACAGTAGTCTGTATTTCAGATATCTGATTGTAAATAGTTTTCAGAAAATTACACTAGTTGGTATTCCAGATATCTAATTGTCAGCAGTTTTCAGGACATTACACTAGTCTGTATTCCAGATATCTGGTTGTCAGTAGTTTTCAGAACATTACACTAGTCTGTATTCCAGATATCTGATTGTCAGTAGTTTTCAAAACATTACAGTAGTCTGTATTTCAGATATCTGATTGTCAATAGTTTTCAGAAAATTACACTAGTTGGTATTCCAGATATCTGATTGTCAGCAGTTTTCAGGACATTACACTAGTCTGTTTTCCAGATATCTGATTGTCAGCAGTTTTCAGAACATTACAGTGGTCTGTATTCCAGATATCTGATTGTCAGCAGTTTTCAGAACATTACAGTAGTCTGTATTCCAGATATCTGATTGTCCGTAGTTTTCAGAACATTACACTAGTCTGTATTCCGGATATCTGACTGTCAGCAGTTTTCAGGACATTACACTAGTTGGTATTCCAGATATCTGATTGTCAGTAGTTTTCAGGACATTACAGTGGTCTGTATTCCAGATATCTGATTGTCAGTAGTTTTCAGAACATTACACTAGTCTGTATTCCAGATATCTGATTGTCAGTAGTTTTCAGGACATTACAGTGGTCTGTATTCCAGATATCTGATCGTCAGTAGTTTTCAGAACATTACACTAGTCTGTATTCCATATATCTGATTGTCAGCAGTTTTCAGAACATTACAGTAGTCTGTATTTCAGATATCTGATTGTCAGCAGTTTTCAGAACATTACAGATTCAGATTCTTTATTACACACTTGACACATTTATGTGTGTAACAAGAGGTCAAAAATTCAAAACAACATACACGGCAGACAGGGTAATACAGTTACTAAGTTCATTGTAACATATGAATAGTTATAGTAAA